ACTAGGAACCTGGATCTCCTTCCTGCTCCTAGGAGTCTCCGCCCTGGGAAGACAGGGAGTCAGGGGGCGGGCGGCAGGCCAGCAAGATCAGCTAGAAACAGTTCTTTCTTTTCACCAATGACAGGCCCACACCCTGGGCACATAAATCCTTTTTTTATTTTTATTATTATTATAGCCCACGGTCTGGCATGGGCCATAAACAGATTTAAGAGGCTACAGCATATAGGATGTAATATACTTGGCATCATTAAATAGTGGCATAGCAAACCCACTTGGAGAAGTCCAGGCCCCTCCCTCACAACCACCGAGCTTCCCCGTGTCCTTTCCCTCCCTTCTGATCCTACAAACCTGCCTGGCCAAGGTCTGTGGGGCAGCCCTTGCTGAGGGGAAGGGCAGAAGGGGTGGAACAGAGGCAAGAAGGCGGGGGGTTGTCTGCAGCCCCGATGGAGAGGGCAATGGGCAAATGACCAATTAGGGACACTTGGGGAGGTGGGACAGAGCTTTCTAGATAAGCAGGGCCTTTATCAGCCTATAAAAATACCACTTTCACTTATCTGCTGGCTCCTCCAGGCTCCTGGGAACAGATGGAAGGGTGGACAGAAGAAGGCTGAGGACAAGGGAGGGATGATCTGGGGTGGAAGATATTTGGGGCAGGGTGAGAGAAAGGCGCAGGGCTTCACGGCGCAGAAAATAAAAAATGTGCTGTAAGGTTTCTTTCCCTCCAAGCTTACTACCATTCAGACATCTATTCTTATTTTATTTTGTGGAGCAGAGAGGATACTAGAGTCCTGTATACTTCATTGATTTCTTATATATGTTTTGTTTATGTCTCCATCGATGGCTCTGAGTCCATCTGTTATAACACCTTCATTGATTTTATTCAACAAATATTTATCTAGCACTATGTGGAAGGGATAGGATCTGTGTTGTATAAGGCAGCCATGATCTCTCTCCTCAGCAGCTTAGAGTCTGAGGTAGAGACAGATAATAATCAAGCACATAACAAAAATGATGGGAGGCAGTAGCCATGGGAAAAGCTGGGGGCTGAAGGAATGGCATGTGTAAAGGCCCTGAGGTAGGAGCAAAGGTTGGTGCAGATGAGCAACAGAGAGGGTGGATGGAATGAGGAGGCAGAAAGAGAACAGGAGATGAGGTGAGAGGGGTGGGCAAGGCCAGCTCATGCAAGACCATAAACCTATGGGAAGAGTTGGTATTTTATCCTAAGACTTTCGAGATCCCTTTATAGGTCTGTGAGCACCCGATGCCTCTTTTTTGCTTAGGAGCAGGTAGCCCAGGCATCCTCGGTGGCTGTACCAGACCAGTGGAAAGGTGGTAATGGTGGGGGTTCAGGGAGATGGAGAGTGTTCAGCAATCTTGCAGCTGGTCTGTGCCGGGCACAGAAGATGGGATCCCAGTCACTGCTTTGGGGAACTTGGGCAATTCCCTTCCCTACCTCTGCATCTCTAGACCTCAGTTTCCCCATTTGTAAAATTAAAGAGCTGGAGTAACTATTGCTAAGGGCCTGTTAGGGTCCTACCTTCTGGGATGGGTCTGTGGTCAAAGCCCTAGGGCCTCTGTTGTGACGTTGAGATTCCTAGGAGAGGTGGGCTGCACATTGAGGGTGTATCTGGAGGTGGGCTTCTCCCTCGCCTGCTACAAAATCCCACATGGTCTCCCTCCTCCTGAATTGGTGACTCCCAGTTGGGGTGGGGCTGTTGAACCAAGCAGTTACCTCTAGAGGAACCTCATCATGACTTGGTGAATAGTCCCTGACAGTGTCCACCTAACTACTTCTGCAGGCTGGGAAGGGCCAGGCCACTCAGGGCACCCATGTGTGAGACCGCAGGAAAGGAGATATGAGGGGCTGAGGCTCAGGGGATGCATAGAGGGCCATGGATGCAAGGACTGAGTGTGAATTATGAATGAATGGATATGAACAACCATGCTTGGGAGCATATGTGCACATGCCCTAGCACATGGGCTAGTGTGTGCAACTCAGGGTGAAGGACTATAATTGTGCATGTGTCCTTCTGCATGACCCATGGGCAAGTGTGGTTGCTTGTGATTGTGTGTGTGACTGAGTTATGTCCACATCTGTGCAGGTGTGAACCTGCAGGTGGATTGTGTGTCTGTGTGTGTCTGACTCGGTGTGTGTATGTGGGTGTGTGTCTGTGGACAGTGAGTATGAGAGTACATGTATGTGATGGAACAGCTGTGTAGTGTGGATATTTGTGTGAGGTTGTATGCCTGAGTGGGAGAGTGGGTGTGTGCATTTGTGTGTGTGATGGAGTCAGTGAGGCTGGGTATGAGGTGTGATAAGTGTGGCTAGTGCTGTGTGGAAGCAAATCGCTGTATGTGGGAGATGACTGTGTCTGGCATGATTGTGGTTGTGGGATTGTGTGTGTGTGTGACAAAATTCCCACACCTGTACAAGCGGTAGGTGGCTGTGCATGGCTGTGTGTTCTTTAAGTGACTTCCAAGTGGCTTGGTCTGGGGCATCTTGTTGCTGGACCCCTTGGGGACAGAGAGTGGGGATGGCAGCATCAGTGAGGGCTAAGGAAAGTCAGCTTCCTCCCAGTGCCATGGAGCAGAAGTGCCAGAGGTCAGAACAGGGCTGCTTTGGGCGAGGAGCTGGTGGGGGCACAGGCTCAGTAGCTCCCAGCCCAGTGCAGGGCCCTGGCCCGGCTCCAGGATTTGCTGCAAGCTGCTCTGCCATCCCTTCAGCCTGTCATGGGGGCGTCTCCTGGGCTGCAGGGAGCAGAGCCACCAGGGAGTGAGCCACCAGGCCCCTGGACTTGGGGACAAGGTCAGAGGTGTCTGAGGATGAGCCCCTTGGAGGCAGGCAGGCTCCACACCCGACCCCTTCGACTAACTTCCAAGAAGTAAACATGCTTAGGATTTAGAGTCAACTTCTCTGTCCTTCTGGGACGGGGGAAAGGTCTGGAGGCACTTAAGGAGAGCACTGCTCAACTGGTGGAAGGCCCTGGGCCAGTGGGTGGGGCGAGCTTGTGTACTAACTACCTCGCATCAAACCTGCCTGCAGAGGAGGTAACTGCGCTCTGCCCACCGTCAAGGTGTACAGCAGGGCGCATTTCTTGCACCTGTCATTTCCAACCTGCCAGGGCTGTCGGGGCCTCCCGTGAGCACTAGGGGGTGCGGGTGGGGGTTTATTTACCACACTGTTCCCTCCACGCCCAGGCACCTTCTCCCAGTTCCCAGGAAGTGACTGTGGAATTTATCTCTAAATATAGACTCTAGTGGTGTAGGCACCTATGAAGAGCCCCTCTGGCCTCCTGTGGTCAGTCCCTTTGGCTTCCTTGCTGAACTGCAGACCTACTACTACTGCCTTCGAGAAGGCCCTGGCCTGCAGGTCTCCACTTGGAGCTGTTGGTACAAACACTAATCATAAAAGTGGCTAATAAAAATGGAGGAAGTTGAACACTGGCTTCTAAGCTCAGGACACCATTTGACCCATGGTGATGTTGGGTGGTGGCTGCTCTACAGGCTATACACACACATCCACAATGACAAACATCCACCCAAGCTCACCCCACACACATTCTGGGCCTGCCCACCATGGACTCTAAAGTGTTTTCACATAAAGAGGTCACAGAAAAAAATACATATATATTTTTAAATGCCCTTTCTCAAGAAAGAACACCACACACACACACACACACACACACACACACACACACACACACACCAGCAGAGACACCTCAAATGACAAACTGTTGTCCATAGAGACTCAAAGAAAAGGTCATACTCAACCACACAGAATGAGACATGCAGCCCACTCTCCTGGTGGGTAGCAGAATGTGGAGCCTTGTTACAGGATGGTGACCGGGCAGGGGACTGGGAAATGCAGCAAATTTAGGTGCTCCAATTCAGGTGTTCTGGGGCCAGACATCTACGCCGTATCCTGGGCTCTCAGGATACATCAGGAATGCATGAATCGGGCCCTAGGGGGAAGCTGTAGTTGGTGAGGAACTGGCCTGTGAGGTCAGGGAGAAGCCCCCACACAACTGAGTGGGTATCTGTGTGCCAGCATCGTGGGGAGGGGCTGGGAGGCACCCCCGACTTCCAGCCTTGGGGCAGCCTCCCAGGGAGCGTGTTTTGCTGGGGGCAGTAAGAATCAGGCAGGCTGTGGGGCTTATAGGTCTCCAGGAAGACAACAGAAGGGAGGAAGTTGGAGAGAAGGGACCCCATGTGTCCCCCTTTGGGGTGCTCCTCCCAGGGTTGGGGCCTCAGAATGCCCACCTTCTAAGGAAGTCCCTCCCTTCCTAACGTGGACTTGTGGCAGCCACTGTACCAGTATCAGTGTGTGCAGGGCCAAACAGACCACAGGGAAAGATGTCTGGAAGCGGGGAGGAGAGGCGCTATGGCTGGGGAGGCCACAGGACCGGTGCCATTTGTGGGCCTCTGGGTCCCAGGTCTGGAAATCCTAAGAGGTCTGGGTCCTTCCTGAGACCCACCACTGTGATCTTGAAGAAGCAGGACTCCAGAGACCCCCAGACGCCATTCAGTTGTCCAGAGTGGTACAAAGGCAGAAACGCTGTACAGGCCTGGCACCCTCTCCTCACCTTGAGATCCCAGGGGCTGGGAGAGGCCGCCAGAACCCAAGGGCCCCACAGCCATGTGGGGTGGCAGCATCCACACCAACATGGGGCATGCTGGGCAGGCTGAGCCCACAGCTGCCAGCACACTTCCGAGCACAGCTTCAGGTCCCCTGGGGAAGTGGGTATGGTTCCTTTCAAGCTCTACCTGAAGGTGGCAAGCCTAGGGAACGGCAAGGAGTGGGTGCATTTCCAGCAGAGACTGCATGACAAGATCAAGCCTTCACCCTCTCTGGGCTTAATTGTTTGTTTAAAAATATAGAGCCAGGTACATCTCCTCTCCCCACTGTATCCCACTCGACCTACTTCACTCCCTCCAGGGGACAGTGTGTACTGGCTTGAGGATGTGATAAATAAGGGCTGGGGTTTGGGAACAGGACAGGACTGGGGACACTGAGCTTTGGAGAAGAAAAGTCTGTGTCCCTGTGTCCTCCCTCCCATCCTGCTAAGTTCTCCAGAGTCAGGGGCTCTATGCCCACAAGCCCTCTTAAGTGTCCTTAGTGGAGTGGGGAGAGGGGACAGAAACAGAGATCCAAGCCTTTACCCCTCCACTCATGGAGCAATTGCCTTCCATTTCCGATGGAATGGACTTTCAGATGCATAAAAACTGCCCTTTGCACTCACCCAATCCATCAGACCTCTCCCCCTCTCCCCACTCCCCTTCCTGTCCCTGGCTTGGTGGAGACACCGGTCTTGGTCTCGTGTAAAAGAGGGGCTCCCAACTTCTGGAGTCAGACTACTTGGGTTCAAATCTCACAGGAGTGTGACTGGCCAGAGCCCCAAAGCCACTTTCTCACAGAGCTACTTAGAGCTAAATGAGCAAATGAAACGATGTTACAACAGCTCCTGGCCTGCCTTAAATGTTAGCTATTATTGCTGTTCAAATGCTAACAAAATTTTCAGCCTCTAATAGCTGCATTTCTCTTTATGGCTATGCACTCATGCAAGACTTTTCTAAAAATATTAATGCAAAATCTCTTTCTGGGGAGAAAAGATTGGGTGATGGGGAGAAACCTCCTCAGGCTGCCTGGATACAGACTGGGAAGGAGTGGGTGGGGGTACTACACCAGCCAGGAGCTGTTGGGGACATTAGATGTCCCATCTGTAGAGGAAGAGAAGTTTTCTCTTTCCTGATCGGCCTGGAGATGATGGGGTCCACTGCAGAGTCCAAGCTGGCCAGTGTTCTGCTCCTTTCTTAGATCTTGCTGCCTCTGAAATGGAAACCGAAAAGTCGGCCTGTGTTGGCCCACTGTCCACTCCCAAAAGAAAAAGGGGCATTTCTACCCTGCCAGAAAGAAAGCAACACAACCCCAAAATATTATCTTAATGCTACGTAGCTTACATCCACAATCGAAGAAACGTTTTCCTCTAAAAGGAAAATGACTAAGATTTATTCTTTGCCTCAATAAGACCTTGCAGAAACATGAACGCCACAATGCCGATTTTCGCCCATGCTTTTAGGAGAAGGTAGGTATTCCAGGCAGGAGAAAGGTTTTTTTGGACGGATGGGGCGAGCCTCGCGTGCGACGGGGGTAGGTAGTATATGTGAAGGGACTCCGGATCCCAGGTCCCTGGCTGTGTTCGGGGTGCAGGCTTCAGTGAAAGTATTCGGCCTTCGATGAAAGTATTCAGCCTACCGCCGGCGCACCCATCTTCGAGGTCACCTCTTTCAAGCCAAGGTGATTGCTTTTGCACAAGACGGGAACCTACCCCATAGAGATTCTACGAAATCTCATTTTTACTACAGTTAAGAAAAGGGGACAGTTTTTCAACCCAGGCGGTGTTGAACTCACTGCAGAGGCTCCGGAAAGCCAGGAGCGATGGGCGGAAGCGCCCTGCAGGCCTCTGAGCGCTCCGCAGAGTGCGCGATTGTCCTCTGCGCGCGCCCCATTGTTGAGAGCGTTCCACGGGGCTCTGGGGTTGCTATGGTGACCAGGGAACGAAGGGCCCCGGCGGAAACAATCGCCAGGAACTTTTCCACTGGGAACCTATGTCAGTCGCACCCCGCAAAGAGCCTGTCAGTTTGACCCCGGAGTTTTCCGTGTGTGACCGTGCCGGGGAGGGAGGCTCCAGGGGTCCCCGCTTCCGGACCCTTCTGCCGGGGCTGTCCACCGAAGCCAGGCTTGCAGCACCAGGAGGCCAGGGGAGACTCGCTACCGCCCTCGCGGCCCCGGGCTGAAAGGCAAGAAAAATTAGAGGTCTCGACCAAGCAATCGTTTTGGTGATGGATCCTTCTAGTTTAGGGTTTGGCCACCCTCGTCACCCGCACCCCCACCTGCCTCCCTTCACTTCCTCAAGGTCATTACTAGAGTTTTCACTCGCAGGTCCAAGCGGGGTGGCCACCTCCATCCTCCACCCACCTACATGCCCTGATCCCGCGGAAGGGCCTGCAGCCTCCTCGCTGAAAGACAGGAGCAAGGGATGTGGGGCTTAGCCCTGCAGACTGAGATGGTTATTCCAGCGTCAATAAAACAGAGTTTAGGTTCTCTTGTCCCAGGTAGGCCCAAATCTGAAAGCCTGCTCAGACCTTAGGAATTCCCAAAAACACTGGCCTGGCTCATTTTGGCCACAGGGGGAATGTTACCTGAATCATCGGATTGATTGGGAGATACCAAGCTGAGCGTTCTCAAAGGAGGTAATTATTCTACAATTGCTAACATCTTTGTTTTCTTTGCCACAGTGAGTTCTGACTCTGCAGTGTAGACACAGAGGAACCATGCCCCTTCCCTCTTAAATAAAGCACTTTATGAAATGTGAGATAGAATTCTCCCCTGTGGGGATGCCTTGCTCTGTGAGGCCGGGGCTGGCTGGAAAAAGGCCCACGGGCAGCCAGAACTGGGTTGCAGTTTTTGAATCTGTCCCTTTGAGCAAGCTTAACACGTGTGGATTTAATTTCCCTTTCTTTCTCACTTTCTTTTCTTTATCCCCCCTCCCTCCTTGTGAGGGAACAAGAAAAATAGTCTGCTGTGTCGACAGCGCGACACGGTTCCTTTTGCCAAAGAAAATTTGTCTTTCCAGAGCTCTGGAGAGCATGGGCTCCCAAGTTTCCATTGCACCCTCCATTCAAGGGAAGAGGTGTCCAGACAGGCCCCCTGCCTACATCCCAGACCGGAGGTATTAGCCTGAGTCTCTATCTCACCCAGTCAGAGCCCTGGAATTCAGTATATTCCCCACCCCACCCCCATCTTTTGGGACCGTGGGGCATGCTGACCATGCAGACATGGTGACCACACCCGGAAGCCTTTCTACAGGTTGGAGTTCTCAGACTGAAGTTCTCAGTTTGGAGGTGGATCTAGGTTTGCTCAGCTCAGGACCCTCAAGCTTCTCCACTTTGAGACTCCCAAACTGGAGAAGGCAAGAATAGAAGCTTCTTTGCATCCCAAGCCTTCTCTGCTCTTTAGAGCTTGCAAATCTCCAGTTTAACTATCTCAGCTGGGCCTCCACACCGATGTTTCCATTGCCATTTCTCATTTCATTACCCTGATGGGGTTGGGGTGGTGGATCTCATTCTCCAAACTTGGGGGAGTGGGAAAAATATTTCCAAAGCCCAGGAAACACCACCAACATGAGTAAGGACAGTCATAACAATAATTCCTGGTGGAAATAACGGAGGAGAATATTGTATATTAAAAGAACAATAACAATAATTAGTATTCTTGCCAGACACTTCCGGCCAGAAAGGAGGGAACTAGGAACTGTATAAAACATTGGGAAGGGAGATATCGCAGTCCTGGAAAGAATATAATAAAGGCAGATTTAAGTCGGCAGTGGGGAAGTGACCCCTGAGAAATCAGGGAAGTTCCCACCCTCCCTCTGACCCTCCCTTTTGCAAAATGAGTTGGTTAAAGTTTAGTTTTGTCATCATTTCGATTGTTGTTATAATTCTTACTAATTTTCCCAGTCGTATCTGCCCTTCTCCCTTTCGCTTTTAGTAGAGACCTAAGTCAGGCAGGGACCCAGCATTATAGCAACGGCAAAGTGGGTGTATGGTTAAGAGAGTTCTCCTTTGAAAGAAATATGGATTTGGATGCTACTTTCTTAAAAACACAAGAATGAAAAAAGACCAGCAGCGGTCACCACTTGGTTTTGTTTTATTTTTGACTTTTCATATAGGAACGTCTGCTCTCCTATCTACTGCAGGATTAAAATTAGGGCAGGAATTTTGCAAAAATGAGGAAGATAGACTCTGGGAGAAAACTGAGTTGGCACAGGTGGAGGAAAGCTTCAGTCCTCCCAAAGAAGAGAGGCTGCGTGTTGCAGCCTGTCTTTGCAGTTCACTGCCCAATGTTTGGGGAAAAGAATGGATATTCCCATATCTAGTGGAAGTCTTTAGTTTATTCCATCCATGGGGCGGCCTCGGGAGCGTCTGGGACAGCCGGTCAGGGAAGCTGACCCTGCAGACTGACTCCTTTGTGAACTGGTCTGGGTGGTTGCAGAGCCCCCCAGGGATGCAGAAGGGAGCCAAATGTTAAGGAACTTGCACTGCTCGGGATTTCGCCTTCATTTTTTAAGCCCCGGCCGGCCAGGCCTTCGTTTCCGGCCCATCTCGGCCCAGGGGTCAAATAGGAACTCATCTCCAGACTGCGTTAAGGATTTCGGGTTGCGCTCTTGGCATCTGCGAGTAAACGCTACACCCAACAGGCCTCCGATTAGGGAAAAGATACTTATTAATAACTTGGGAAAGGAAAGCGAACCTCGGGGTAGTCACTGCGGCCTGGCTGAGAGGACAGACGTGGGTTCTGCTTGCTGGAAGCAGCAGAGTCTGCGGCCCGGCGTCCGGCGCTGGAAACCACTGCCCGCTCTCCCCGCGGGCCTGACCTTAGCTCCTGAGGCTGCTCGGTCGACTGTGTTCCTGCCCTTTTCTCTGCCGCTCCAGCCCCAGACGGGCCGGGCCAGGAGCCAGGCCATGATTCGGAAAGCCCTGGGGGCTGGGGGCGGGCGAAACCCGGGATCGATCCTCGAAGCTGCGGGCAAGTCCAGATTCCGAAGTTCGGCTCCCTCGCGGCCAGTTGGCGGGGAACTTACCCGTTCGTCAGGCCAGTTTCGAACTGCGCTGGGCAGGCATAGCTCTTCCCTCCGCGCGGCCGGGGCGGTCTACGCAGTACGCTGCTCTCAACGGAACCTAGCGCATTTCCAGCTGCGCGCAAAAGCTCGCGCGCATCCGCCAAGGTGCTGCTTAGAAGTTATGCCAATTGATGAAACCAAAAAATAAAAATAAAAAATCGTTATTTACCAAACAAAATAGACTTCCTCGTCCCTCTGCAGGCCCAGTTGCTACAATTCTTCTCTGCATAGAAATCACCCCTCTCCACCCCCACTCACCACCCACTGTCACCCCGCCCCCGCGGGGCCACGCTAGGACAAGTTGTATCCTCGGACCTGGCTAAAGGAGCATTCGCAGAATGGACTTTTTCCCTGCAGGAAACATTGCAGACGCCTCTCTTTCTTCCTCCTAACGTCTCTGTCTCATTTCCCCTCCGTGATAACCTGGTAATTAGTTCTTTGCAGGTTTGCAAGCGGGCACTGAGTTACCGTGTCCCGAACAGAACCAGCTAGAGGCGCCTCAATATTCGTTTGCAGAGACCTCCTCCGCGGAAAAAAATAATTTTTAGACAAGAAGACGACTGTCTTGCCTCCTGCAAGAAACCTCATTGATCCCCGGAACAACTTTTCTTTCCAATTGTGGGCTGCGGTGGGCTCCCACCACCTTTCCCTCCCGAAGAAAATCGATCTTGGCTCTATTTGTGTCTGATGTTTGCCACCCCCATTTCCCCCAGAGAGCGTTTGTTTATTTCTTTATTTATTTCCGCGTCCGAGGAGTCTGGGACTTGTGGCCACTCAGACTCGGGACTGATAGGCGAAGACGAAGAAATTAACCTCCTGCCGCTGCCCCCAGTCGAGCGTGACAGCGCGCGGGCCGGTTGCGTGACTCGTGACGTCTCCAAGTCCTATAGGTGCAGAGGCTGGTGAGATAGTCGGTATCGCCTGGTTGCCTCTTTATTTTATTGGGGTATGCCTGGTAATAAACAGTAATATTTAATTTGTCGAAGACCACAAACCAACTTCGAGCTGGGAGGTACATACTACCCTTGACAGACGCTGAAAGAAGGCTTGGCTTAAAAGGGGTCTCTTTTGGGGTCCTTTCCAAACTCTTCACCTGGACCCCGCCTCCCCCGCGAGCCTCCACTCCTGGTTTCTGTGCTGAAAAGAAGAGGTGGGATTTTTGGAGGTGAGTGTCGCCCTGAAGAGCTATTGGGTGGATGGGGTTCTTAGCACATCTTTTGCCTGGGGTTCCCGAGTTTACCCGCCCCAGCTCAATCCTGCTGCATTCCCCTTCCTGGCGCTGCCACTTTTCACCAACGAAACAAGAATGCGTTCTATTGCATATTGCTTTTCAGTGTCACCTGGCAAGAATAGATTCCAGTTAGAGTTTTCAAAATCCCACTTTCGCTTGGTGGCCAACACAATCTGAGCTCCACAAACTAAGTGAATCTGGCTGCGCAGTTACTTGGGGGAGTCCAGATTTTCCCTCTCAGGAGGGGCCTGCAGGTTATTTATGGGAATTTATTTTATCTGCAAATCTCTGAGAATTTAAAGGGATTGACGAGGTCTTTCTGGATTTCCCCTTCCTTTTTCCAGAGATGTGGAGAGTCAGGCTCATCCTGAAGCCGTGTTTGTTTTCTCTTTGGCTGGGGCTCACCTCCATAGCAAGCCTAAAGCCCTCTGAACTGACATTTTGTAAGGGTGAGGGTGTTTTCACAAATAAATAAACCGCCTTGGCGAAAGGCTGTTTGAAAACAAACCTGGAAGATGGAGTGGGAAGTGTAATGAATGTTGGAGCTAGTTTCCTCTCTGGTTGCTGCACGTTTGGGGTTGGACAATCCACTTCGGAATTTTGCAAGGATGTGTCAGGCCTGCGCTGGGATTTTCATCCAAGCAGCTAAGAAGGTTACGTGGAGGTAGCTGCTGATGCCAGGGCATTTCTCCTTACTTCCATCCCTCTTCCCAAACCCTAGCTAGGAGGGCCTGGTCTCTTAATGATAGCCCCAGAAAAGGACAGGGCGAGGGGCTACAGGAGAAGAGGGTGGGAAACAGGACAGGAACCCTGACTTTTATTCTAAGCGCCAGTACTTGGTATTCCAAACTGAGTCTGCTCAGGCGAAGACCTATTGAGACTCTGTTTATGCTTCTATTGACCTCTTCAACTCGACCCTCAAAATAATACATTTCAGAGAAAGGGAGGGCAGGGAGAGGAGCCTAGTGGAGATGAAAACTCCAGCCATCCCCCAATGACTGTTTGATTATTTTAATAAAACTGGGTACTGCCTTGTGTACACCTCCAGCCAGGGAGGTCTGGCGGCCCTGGGGGGTGGGAACCAACGGCCATTCCTTGGCACCTTTGATCTCAGCCCCCATCCCAATGCACCTTCACCCCGGAGTCACTGAGAGTCGGGGTGATGAGTGGGGAGGGGAGAGATGTCAGGGCAGCTAGCGGCGGCCGGTTGGGCCAGCAGGGTCATGCAGATCTCTGTCTTGAGGTCAGCGTTGGAGAGAACTTGGGGAGGCTGCAGAGGAGGCGCAGGGCACGTGTGTGCAGCATAGCACCTTCAGACTCCGTTCTCTGCACGCCTGTGTCACCGAGATTACTTCCCGGGCAGAAGTCGCCCGGGTTTGCGATGATTTGTGCAGGATTTTTTTGCAGCCACCGAGCTGCACTCGGAGAAGCAGAGATGGATGGAAGTTGGGAAGTGGGGGGAGAGGAGCGGGTGAGCTCGAGGTCTGGGTTTAAGAGTTGTGTTGTGATTTGAGTGTGTTCGGGAAATCTAATGGAAAAGGTCTTTGGGGGAGGGAATGAGAAGGGAGAGGGAGGGGGAGTGGGAGAGAAGGGAGAGAGAGAGAGGCAGGCAGCGTGCAGTGGGAGCTAGTTGGAGAAGCAATTTCAGTACTTGGTAAGCATCAAGGCAGCCCAACGTCACTGAGCACAGCTGAGGTTTGCGATGATTTGTGCAGGATTTTTTTTGCAGCCACCGAGCTGCACTCGGAGAAGCAGAGATGGATGGAAGTTGGGAAGTGGGGGGAGAGGAGCGGGTGAGCTCGAGGTCTGGGTTTAAGAGTTGTGTTGTGATTTGAGTGTGTTCGGGAAATCTAATGGAAAAGGTCTTTGGGGGAGGGAATGAGAAGGGAGAGGGAGGGGGAGTGGGAGAGAAGGGAGAGAGAGAGAGGCAGGCAGCGTGCAGTGGGAGCTAGTTGGAGAAGCAATTTCAGTACTTGGTAAGCATCAAGGCAGCCCAACGTCACTGAGCACAGCTGAGTTGGCCTGTATTTGAGAGAGAGAGAGAGAGAGAGAGAGAGAGAGAGAGAGAGAGAGAGAGAGAGAGAGAGAGAGAGACTGACTCTTACCTCGGATTCCGGAACTTTAACCCTGAAAGTGGCGCTCAGAAAAGACTGCGACCATGCCCACGACGCCCTCTGCTCTCCCAACTTGCCCTCCCTGGGGGTGCAAGGGAGGAGCCGGACGCTGAGATTAGGCTATTGAGGGTGCTCCCGGAGGCTGCTGCTGTTTTGCGTTCTTTGGAGCCCTTCTGGCGCCTGACAACTTGGAAATCTTCAGGGGAAGCGAGCGCAAAGTGGAGGAGGTGTGTGCGGGGCGTGGGCAGTCGCGGCCCAGGCTCCAGCGGTGGGTGCTCCTTTGTAGGCAGCAGTTGTCGCTAGTCTGGGCAGGCAGCCCCCCGCCTAAGCCCGGAACCATCATGCCTGCGCCCCCACCTCGCCTCCGGCTTCCCTGCTAGGAGCAAGACGGGATGTGGTGAATGCACCGACTTCACCGAGCGAGGTAACGGTCCTGCCGCTGGCTGGGAAGGCTTGGGAGGGAGCCCGCCGGCAGAGTCCGCCGGCGAGCTGGCTCCGGGAGGCTAGAATGGCGGGACTCCAGGCTTGCCTAGGGTGCTGCCGAGCCGGCGTGCAGAGATCTTGGCGGGCTGGAGCTCCCCGGCGCGCGGCGTTGAGGTTTGCAGGATGCGCGGCCTGGTTCTGTCAATCCTCATTTCGTTCGGCCCCACCGACTCCCCCGGACCGGAGAAGGGCGCGCGGTGGGATTGTCCCAGAGGTCGGCGGTGAATGGGAACGCACGTGGGGGACGCTAGCCCCACTTTCTTTTGTTGTAGGCAGGCTGCGGGGCTTCCATCGCCGCCTCCCCCAAAACCCAGGGGCGTGGGGAGGGAAGCTGCTTGGGAGTCGGGCCTCAGAAGCTGTCCTTTTCCGCGGCCCCACTTCTGGGTCTCCGGCCACTGCAGACCACGGTGAGATCCAGCTTTTTGCTTAAGCGGCTACTAAGATTTGGTGGGCCACCCCTTGCGTCCCCTTCCCAGGCTTCCCGGGTTTTGAGGGAGGAAGTCCCTACTGGGGATCGTAGAGAAGATTGGAGGGAGATCAGAGCAGGAGGCAGGCACATCGGGCTTGAGCAGCTCTGTAGCTGTTCCTTCGCGCTTTCTAACCTCACATGCCTGCGATCCTGGCCATTCTACGCATTGCTTCGGACCCACGCGGCGGATTCATGCGCCCAGGATTGATCTGGGACCCATTTTGTAGTCCTCGTCAACCCCGAGCTTGGCCCTTCCCTTCCAGCGAGCCAGGCCCAGCTGAAGCTCAGAGCAGCTCCACAAAATGCCCGTCCCGGGCTGGAGAGCCAAGAAAGCGAGGAGAACGCGCACCCGGGCGGGAGACCGAGCGCTGGTCGCGGGGGCGGTGGTGGGGGTGGGGAGCGCGGGGGCGGCCAGTAGCGCGCCTTGTCTGAATTGCTGTGCGGCTGCTTGCCTGCCCTTTCTGTTTGGCTACTTTTTATTTTAAACGCTACTTGAGGTGAGGGGAAAGCGGAGGACTCTTAATGCTAGGGGACTTTTAATTTTAAGGCCTGTAACTGATTAAAAAATGAACACGAATTCTGCTCCGGACCTGGTCTCTTAATCTGCAGATCTTTCCCCTCTGCTTATGGTTTTGTAAGAGGCGGGTTATTTCAGACATTTTGCCTGCTGCAGAAAAATATTCCTCTTGCAAGTTTTAATAAACACAGTTCTGCGGGCCGCCTGTAATTTGACGAAGGAAAAAAACCTCTCAAAAGGACACTAGGTTTTTGTTTTGTTTTTGGTTCGTACCCAATGGCTTCCAAAAATACCCAGGCCTTATCTTTATTGGCTCTTCCAGAAGTCCAGACAAATTTGACGGGCAGCTGGCTTATCGCGGGGAGCCTGCGCAGGGGCGATGCGGGCCTCGCCTCTTCCCGGTCTGACGCGGGCCTTTCGCAAGAGGTTGTGCGTGGTCATAAAG